CCCCACCCTGATTTTAGGACCACATTTTAAGAAACACTGGTTTAAGAAGTGGCATTGGATTCAGTGGAACACCCTTCTGGCTAGAGTCAGGCTGAGCAAGCAAATTAAGACCCAATTCACCAAACGTGCTAACATTAAACCAGTATTTTGGTTTAGCCCAGTCATTTGGTTCTGTCTGTCTGCCTGCCCCCCCTCCCCCACATCTATATTTTGTAAACTTTATTAGCTGCCCATCTTACAACAACCCAAATATTTGGTTTGTCAACTATAGTTTATGGCTTAGCTAAATTGCAACTTCTAGACAATTGTTAGATGACCTCTGATGCTTTTTCCAACTTCTTTCAGTTCATATCTAATAGAATTGCTGCAAACTGAAAAACTGATGGAAAATCTTAAAACTGCCATATAAGATAAATGGGGGAATTTAATTTAATTTATAATTAAATAATAAATTTGCCTATCTTCTTAGGTTGAAAAAGTCCTGAGGCACCTTAAAAACTGGACAATTTATTATAACATAAGATTTCATACATTTCAGCCAGTGGTGGGTTGCTTCTGGTTCGTCCCAGATCGGGCGAACTGGTCACGGCGGCGGCAGGAGTCTCTGCTCACCCACCGGGATGCTTCTGTGCATGCGCAGAAGCGTCACACACGTGCCCATGAGCAAACCAGTAGCAACGGGTTTTAAAACCCGCCCGATTTCAGCCCATTTCATTAACATGCAGAGAGAGGGAGTTGTTGTTTGTTGAAACAAGGAACAGAAAAAGAGATCAGAAAGTGACAAGATTTATTGACACTCCATATAAAATTGTAGATTAGATCCTGTAGATTAGAAATCTACAATGGATTAAAAAACAATTACCTCAGGTTTTTTTTCTTTTTAACTTCTTTTGCAATTCATTCTCATCCAGATAACCAACCATTAAGTGGCAAGAAGTGCCATCTTTTTATTCCTCTTCTGACAGTCAGCAACTCTTAGCACTGTGAAATCCTTGGTGTTCTCTGAGCTTGGTTGTTTGCAAACAATTACCCAATTAGGTAACATCACTGGCTTAGAACTCTAACCTGCAAGCAATGTTTATGTCATAAGAAGTAGCTTAGATTTCATGAGAATTAATTAAAACAAATGAATAGGATGCCAAATAGGCGAGAGCAGCTCCAATTGAATAAATCACTATGAGACAGAAAGATTACATCCTGCAAACCTGTAAATCAGAACAGCAGCTTACAAATGATTTATAACTGACTGAAAATCTGGTGAAAATATAATTCAGGTGTTAAGACACCCATCATCCCTATTGAGCATAGCTTAAGATCAATATAAAGGAAACTACAACTGCAGTAACAATAATGTTTAGAACATCAGAACAGTCCTGCTAGATCAGACAAAAGATCCATTTTGTCCCACCTAACATTAATTCCAATGACTGGCTGGATACTTTTAACGAAGGATATAATCACTCTGAAAGATATCAGCTCGCTCACATCAAGTATTTCCACAGCAGTTGACATTAACTGGGACATGGCTCTGATTGTGAATTTAATTTAGACAGGATACTAGTGGCAGGCAAGTTTAGGCCGCAGTCATCAAAATCGGTATGAGCCACGTAGATTAAAAAACAGCAGGAGGGTTACAGATGTTCTGTTCATGAAATGCAATACAGGTAGTGCTAGACTTACAATCACAATTGAGCCCAACATTTCTGTTGCTAATTGAGACACTTAAGTGAATTTTGTTGCATTTTATGACCTTGCTTGCCACAGCTGTTAGGTGAATCACTGCAGTTATTAGTCACAAAGTTGTTAAGTGAATTTGACTTCCCCATTGACTTTGTCAGAAGGTCACAAAAGGGGATCCCATGACCTCAGGACACTGCAACCATCATAAATATGACTTCAGTTGCTAGATGGTGCAATGATCATAAGTGTGAAAAATGGTCATAAATCACTTTTTTCAGTGCTATTATAACTTCAAAAAATCATTAACTGTTGTTAAGTTGAGGACTACCTGTATGTTACTAAGTTAACTGCAGTGATTCCCTTAACAACTATGACAATAAAGGTCATAAAACGAGGCAAAATTCACTTAACAACTGTCTCGCTTAGCAAGGAAATTTTGGCCTCAACTGTGGTCGTAAGTCAAGGACTACTGTACCTGTAATGTATGCAAAATGTTGAAGGTCCAAATTTTCCACTGCTTTGGGAAATTGTGTCACATTTCTACTCCAGTGCCCAGACTAGCTAGGCAAGTGCAGGAATGGAATTCTACTGATCTGGAACACAGCCAGATTAAGGTCAATTGATGCCCTAAAGCACAGTACAACAACAGAGCCCTTGGCCCTTCCAATGCTAAATGACAAAACATTAAGTCTCAGTAAATGCCAAAGGTGAAATAAAGGGATTAAAAATCCAGTTGTCTTCCGAGCCATCCCTCAGGTTGAACCCCAGAACTACAGTATATTAAATATAAAGTTTTTTAAAAAAAATAAAAATATTTAACATCAAATAGCCCTAAGCAATATAAGCAAATTATTTAATAACTAGAATAAAAACTGCTAAATTTCAATACTTTTAAAGCATTGCTAATAAGAGTGTTATAGTAAAAATGCAAATCTAAAAAGAAGATTGCAAACTAAAGCCAAGCTTGACACAATGAAAGAGTTAAGAGCATGATAGGTAGGGGAAAAAAAGCAGAGCACAATAATGCCCCATTTCCCTTGGTTCCCTAAGCAGATGCTTATTTAGGTTAATGCTTAATCCAGGATTGATCTGGAGGACACAAGTTGCGGAAAGTTATATGAAACGTTAAATCGAGTTAACCATGGCCGAATAACGCAAGAGACCAAAAACGCAAGTGTAACAAGCTGGTTTTATCTTTGGCCTTCCTTTTTTTGCTTTCTGCTTACACGCCGGTTGCATTCAGAGAAGGAAGAGCTGTGTTTATTTCTAGCTGAACTGCCGTTCCTTGCGTTGCCCGCAGGTTCAGCCCAGCGATGCACCCATTAAAAACAGTTTCATCCTCACGGATTCTCCGCCGAACGAACGATTCGTGCAGCCTGCACCCCCGTTTTCCCCCCTCGGTGACGGATTTTTTTTTACCAACGCCTCCGTTACGCATTTGCAAATCCGGGAATCTCGAGATAATCCTCTTCCAAGTCTAATTTGGATGCACGGGCAAGCCTTGCAATTTGCATCCACAGCTTGAGAAGAGAGGAAACTCACCCACCCACCCAAGCCTTTCTTAACCTCCTCCTCCCTAAAAATAAACCATGAACTGGAGCTCCGGGAGCTGGACCACCTCCTCGTTTGTTTGGTTTTTAAAACCCTCTTCTTTAAGAGCGTGCAAACCACAAACTCACTCTTCAACCATAGAGCTCCTAGTTCCTCTCTGTTCCTAGCGATCACCAGGAAATACAACGGAGAGGAGGAGGAGGAGGAGGAGGAATAGGGGGGGTTAAATTAATCGGGGACCTTCCTGTTCCCAGCAGCAAACCCCCCACCCCCCAACCAACCAGAGCCGAGAGTTGGGCTTTAGTGGAGTCGCTTGCAGCGGCTCGGATCCTCCCGCGGTGCTTAGGCGCCCCGGGGACGTGACCTGGGTTCCTTTCATCCCGGGTTAAAAAGTGAGTTTTAATCGGGGGATCCGCGCGGGTGGGATAAATAAGGGGTGGTGGTGGTTTGATGCATCCAAAATGTAGGAAAACATTTGGAGCAAGGTTGCCTATTTTGCAATGATCTCCTCCTCCGCTCCCCGGTAAGTCTCCCTTGCCCGATCGAGCGCAAAGACCCCGGTCGCGTAGCAAAAGACCGCAATATTGGTTAGGATCGGATCGTTTCTGCTGCCAAGCTTGAGTTTCCTTATTCCACCCACCACCACCACCCACCCTCTCCTTTTCTCCCCTCGACCTGGGGTGAAAACGGTGATGGTTTTGCAACGATGAAAGCCCCACGCTTGACACTCGGTTTCGGCAACGCTCCGACCGTTTTCCTAAACTGCGCTACCGGCGGGCTTGTAAACTCGCTGCCCGAAACGACGAGGCTTGGCTCGCAAGATGGCCACCCCGAGTTCACAAGAGAAAGCTGTCATTTAAAAGTTGCGGTTGAGGAGCGCAGCCCCAGACAGAGCCCATCTCCAGCAAGTTATGGCGGGGGTTGCTAGGTTAGAGTAAGGAAGGCGAGAATGAATCCTTAGGGCAATCTTTGAGCAGTGTGCCAAGAGAAGGAAATCTGGTGGTGGGGATGGAGATTGAAAGATATGAAACTGACTGAGGAAAAGTATAGTATCCCGAGCTATAATGAAATTAATTTTAGTTTTAAGTCCTGTGCAAACACAGCCATTGTGATTAAAAAAATCATATTTGATGGTATAACCCTTGTGTAAATCCAGCTAACTTTGGCTTGGTTGTCGATCTTAATTAAGCAAATCAAAGCTTTTTTTTAAAATTTGATTTATATGCCGTCCTTCTCCGGAGACTCAGGACGGCTTACAATGCGTTAAGCAATAGCCTTCATATTTTTGTATATTTATACAAAGTCAGCTTATTGCCCCCACAAACTGGGTCCTCAATTTACCCACCTTAGAAAGGATGGAAGGCTGAGTCGACCTTGAGCCTGGGGAGAATTGAACTCGCAGTAATTGCAGGCAGCTGGATGTTAAATGCTGCCTTAGGAGGCATTAGCTTCCTACGCCACTCAGGCTCAGTTTCAACAGCGAACTTGGTGGAGTGTTCTTTGGCATCTTAAAAAGATTTCCAGGAGAATCCAGATTGTTCTCCTTGTCTCTCATCTCATTCTTTTCTAGCAGAGCTTCTGTGCCTTTCACTGCTGCATGTATAAAAAAAGAAATGAGAAATAAATGTTTTCTCAGTTCAGAGATACTGTGGAGCAGTGTTTCTCAATCTCAGCAATTTTAAGACAGGTGGGCTTCAACTTTCAGAATTCCCCAGCCAAATTCCCAGAAGTCTTCAAGTGGCTGAGGTTAAGAAGCACTTCTGTAGAGGTGGGAGCCAGATTGTTTACTATACAAGGTCAATGTTTGTCTTGTTATTGTTAATAATGTAAAGAACTACATTGGGGAAATCGCAATCTTTTGGAAATAAATATAACGTTTTCTCTCTTGTTAGCATGCTGAAAGAAGCTCTTAAAGCTGGCGGTGTTTGCACACAAGCAGTTGTATGTAGGCAAGCTGAGATAGTTTTGCAACCAAACTCAACTATGCAATTATGGGTCCTAATACTTGTGATATCTCTAGTTCTTGGGACACCAAGGTAATGGCAGGATGCTGATGAGAGCATGCATTTGTTTTGAACATATTGGTCCAGGATTTTCAAATCAATGCCAGGGGTGCCTATAAGATTAAGCTAAATTGGTTCCCATATTTGCTAAGCCAATTATTAAAATTTAGCCAATTGTATAACATCCCAATAATTCAGGAGCTAACTGGTTTATTCACTAGCCCATCTATGTTGTAAGTCTCCTTTGTTATCAAGAACAAGTTTAAAATGCCAGAATAGCTATTCTCTATACAGTGTGTCAAGGGTGTAATTTGGCTTGGAGAAGTATATTGGATGTATTTGGCTTGGACAAGTACATTGCCAGACTGGATTTGAATCCCAGAAACGAGGCAGCACAAAATATACATAATAAATTTGATCAATAGTGACTAACTTTTACCCAAATGGTTAAATTTGGGAGGAGTGGGAGGAAGTGATTGTGGCTAATTCATTCATTTCTCTCTCTCTCTCTCTCTCTCTCTCTCTCTCTCTCTCTCTCTCTCTCTCTCTCTCTTTCTTTCAGATACATTCTGGCTTGAAAATCCTCATTTTGAGATGGCGCATGAAGATCCTGGCATTGCAGAGATCCATGGCTCAGATAACAGTAGAATCATAAGGAGAGTCTACATAGGTGAGAAACTGGGGCATTGTACAGATACATGACCTGGTAGATATACACTCTACACTCTATTGCCAAGGCAATAGGGAGGCTAAAGCATGTTTCTTAAATCCATAACATCCAGATAACTTTCGGAAGCAGTTTAAGTAGATGCCCCCTAAATTCACTGAACTGTAAGGAGGAGGAAGAGGAGGCACAGCCCTATTAGTCTTGCTAGTTTCTGTTATTCTAGCCAAATAATTTTAGCCTGTGAAGTTGATTTCATAGTCTGATCTACCCAATGGAGCTGTCAGGTGTATAGCCATGTTGAATTGTAAATATTTTATTTTTCCTCCAAGAAGTTTCTGAGTGGCATACAAAGTTCTCCTCTATTTCTCCCTTTTTAAGAGCAACCCCAAGAGATAAATAAGATTAGATTAAGATTCCATGCAAGGTCTGTGATTTGAATAGATTTCAATCCAGAATTCACTAATTCTAGTTTAGCTTTTTAGATCAGGGTGTGGGAGATGAAATCTGCCTGTTGTCTCTTAAAAGTGCACAGAACAAAAGAACCTTGAAGTCTGTCAAGTATAATATTGAGAGGAGGAAATGATTTCATATACAGGGCATAATCATATTATCTGAATGAAATACCTTTAAATTCAATTGAATCAAAATTTCAGTTATATAATGTGTTTTTGTTCTGATCTTTTAAAGTGATTTTTAAAAAGACTTCTAAAGTGTGTATAGCAGAGATGGGGATATTTTAGTTGTCCAGGTGTTGCTCTTTCAGTCAACTCCCAGGCAGTGTGGACCATAGGTAGACAAAATGAAAGGGATTATCCAATAGTACCTGAAGGCCAGAGATTCCCCACTCGTAACCCAGTGCAGAAGAGGCAATGAGTTCTTTTTTTTTGTAAAACCGAGAGATCTCTTTCTGAACAAAATGCTTCTCCCCTCCAATAGCTGACAGAGGCGTGGTGCGCAAGAGTGAAGATGATTTGAAGCATGAGGCCATCCAGTCCGCAATACAGAACAGACAATCCACCTGGAGGGCAAGTTCACAACAGGAAGCCTCTCTAGAACGGCAGGGGAATCTGTTAGTCTCTGGCAACTACGGTGAGAGCGATATGGCTGGAGCAACCAGCGTTGTCTCCCGGTCCAGCAAGCAGCGCCCCTTTATTTGCAACGAGTGTGGCAAGAGTTTCAGCCACTGGTCGAAACTGCTACGGCATCAGCGCACGCACACTGGCGAGCGTCCCAGCACTTGTACTGACTGTGGCAAGAGCTTCTCGCAGAACTCGCACCTGGTGCAGCACCGGCGCACCCACACCGGTGAGAAGCCTTACGTCTGCCGTGACTGCGGCAAGAGCTTCAGCTGGAGTTCCAACCTGATCCAGCACCAGCGCATCCACACGGGAGAGCGCCCTTACACGTGTGGGGACTGTGGTCGCAGTTTCACGCAAAGCAAGAACTTGGCCAAGCACCGGCGAACACATACGGGGGCCCGACCATTCCGTTGTCCCGAATGCGGCCGAGGCTTTGCACACAGTGCTGGCCTGATCAAGCACCAGCGTTTGCGCCATGACACGGACTCCCCCATTGGCCACCCATGTCCAGAATGTGGACAACGCTTCCGAGCTCCTTCAGAAGTGGAACGTCACCGTGTTGCCCATCACGGAGCCACCCCATCAGAGCCTTTCATCTGTGTGGAATGTGGGGAATGTTTCACCAAGAGCACTACCCTTATCCGCCACAAGCGAGTGCACAAACCGATATTTGTGCGTTGAGGGTTTCTCCCTCTGGTAGGATGTGAATTCTGAACGATGTCCAGGTTAGTAGCCTGGAGACTGAGGATAGTTTGGGGTCCAGCGTGACTCTGCATCCTGGATCTCACTTGCCTAGATCAAAGGTCATGTGTGAGCCAGTGTATCCAACTAGGGAGCAGCAAGAAGGGGAGGAGGCAGGAAATTCAGCTTGGAGCTCAGGTCTCTGGTCATTTGTTGGAAGAAAAACTGTGTCCAGATCTTAATCTATCTTCTGAGGCAGGATCAAAAAATAGTTCTCACTGACCATCTGAGAACTAGTAGGCTGTTACTGTAAATAAAGTTTTTTGTTAGAAGCCATAAGAATTTTGAGAAGGCGGGAGAAGAAACCTGATCTTCAGTCAAAGATTTATTGGGACTTCAAAGGAAAAAAATGAGTAAGGAAGTATAACCTTAAAAATAACCTTTGAGTTATTTTTGTTTGGAAAGGTATGTGAAGTGAGGAAAAAGTGAGGGCACTGAAGAGTGGAGGAATCGGAGGATTGAAACCCGTTTTGTGCAATAAAGTGTTTTGTATCCCCTAATCTCAGTTGCTTTCACTCTTAGTTTCCTTATGATTATCTTTCCAGTAGAAAACTAGGCAGAGTGTGTCAGAAATGGAATATGGACCAAACATTGAATAGACAATAGATCTACACTGCTGAAAATGTGGAGGTACACAGCAGAAGAGTAAATTATGATTGTGGGAGCTACTATATTAAGTAGAAATATTAAACAGATATGAGCCACCAAATATTTGGGCTTTTTAAAAGAAGTTTTCTCCAGGACAGGAATGGTCTGTTATTATTATTAGTAAGGAGTAGGATGTTTTGATGCCACATACTATAATTGGATGGTGATGAGCTCTCTACATTTTCCTAATACTTTCCAAGTGTCAAGTGACTTAAACCAACCTAAAGCCTTTGTGTTTTTGTTTCCCTCAGATCATGTCTCTAGAGCGAACCTATGACACACATGCCCATGGCACGCAGAGCCATGTTGCCTGGCACATGTGTCGTTGCCCGTTCCTCTTCTGTGTTTCTGGCGCGCACGACGATCAGCTGATCTTTTTGCATGCAGCAGTGCCAGAAACTGGAAGAGCTGGTCTTCTGTTTTCCTTCATGAACATGCGTGCCGGCCAGCTGATCGTCGCATGCGCATGCGTGCCAGAAACCCGGAAGAATAGCTGGGTGAAACCGGAAATTCATTTTTGAGTGCATGGATGCACCCTGGGCAGCTCCTCTTCTGGGTTGCAGCCCAGATGCACGTGTGCTCCCTTTTGGCACTTGGTGCTGAAAAGGTTCGCCATCACTGCTCTAGAGCTTTGCAGTTTGATATTGAGCAAAAGATCCAGTCTAAACATCAAAAATTAGTGAGAGGAAATTTTAACTAGATAAATTGCTGACAATTTCTATCAAAGCTTAAATATATATTATACTATTGCAATTCAATATTATAATACCGTGTTTCCCCCAAAATAAGACCGTCTTATATTTTTTTGAACCCCGAAATAAGCCCTTAAGCCTTATTTTCGGGGAGGTCTTATTATTTTGGGGCATGTGGAGCAAGATGGGGCTCCTCTTGCCGTCTTACCTGATTTCCAGCTCTGCGTTTAAATATTTTTGGGGAGGGTTTGTTTTCAGGACAGACTTATTTTAGTGCATGCGCTCAAAAGCCCGCTAGGCCTTATTATTAGGGGATGTCTTATTTTCGGGGAAATTGTCAGCATTAAGATACTAAATCAAAGGTTCTTACCTGTAGCTGTGAGTTTATAAAGTTAAGAGAGAGCTGTGGTGGCGCAGTAGTCAGAATGCAGTATTGCAGGCTAATTCTGCTGACTGCCAATTGCCAGCAATTCAGCAGTTTGATTTTCACCAGGGTCAAAATTGACTGAGCCTTCCACCCATCTGAGGTTGGTAAAATGAGGACCCATATTGTCAGGGGCAATATGTTGACACTGTAAACCGCTTAGAGAAGGCTGTAAAGCACTGTGAAATGGTATATAAGTCTTAAGTGCTATTGCTATTTTTAGAGTGGGTGTTCTAAGAAAACAGCAACCGTTTCCCTTGCTTATCACCCTTGAAACATTTTTTTGCAGACTCAAGAACCCATGTTGTTCAAATTCAGAGGAAAATTGCAAAATAGAGCTATGATTTCCCTTTTGAAATGATGAAATATCAAAACTGGTGTCCTTAAAAACCAGTGTCCAAAACCTGGTGTTCAAACCACAGGATCCCGCTTGGGAAGCATCCACCAAAGTGAAAATAACCCATCTTGAGCTGTTTTTATTCTAAATATTTTGTGTACTTTTAGTGAAACCTCATGTCAGGATTTGAGAGGCAGTAGAGTGCCTCAGACAGTAGAGTTCTGGACAAAAGTGGAATGCTTTTTTTAAAAAAAGGCAGGATGAAATAGTCTGGTAGTAAGGTGGGAGATAACCAGGGAATGAGCTACAGTTTAATTCTGAGAAAGGAAATACTTTCAGATTGGCTCATTCCACCTAATACAGGTTTGGCTAAGTAAGTGACAAGGCACTATTGCCTGTTTGTCTTGACTTAGGTATAAAAGTCAGCTGAATGACTTTGGGCCACTCACTCTCTCAGCCCATCCTACCTCATGCGGTTGTTCTACAAAAAATAGGAGGAAGGAGTATTATGTATGTTCACTGCCTTGAATTATTTATAAAAGTAATAAAGGAATGATAGAAAAAAAAACCTAATAAATAAAATGAGACAAAGAAACATTAACCCAAAAAGAACTGGGAAGTATTAGCAAAAACTGTTGTGAGATGGATAAATGACAGAAGGTTCTACAGTCAGCTTATGGAGTTGTTGATGTACTTATTTTCTGCTTTTAAAAAACCTCCATCAGACTTCTCTGGAATAGAATACTGGCCTGGATTGGCCTCTCAGGAATCAAAACTGTATCTTTATTCCTGCTTTAACAGTGGCCAATCGAGATTCCAGGAAAGCTTGTAAGTGTGGTGTAGCGTTCCATTTTTGACAAGCATCTGCTAGTTGAGGAATTCCATCTTTTATCATTCTAAAAACAGAACCAGGCTAGCTTGGACTACCAGTGGCTATGACCTATCTCAGCCAGAAACAGTAGTGTGTTTGTTATTAATAATTAACTCTTAATAACTCAACAACAGCACTAAGATTTAAATCATAACATTTCTTCAAACCTTTGCGGACCCGTGATGACATCACGCCCAATCAGGGGTCCACAGACCACGGATTGATAAAGCACTGCCCCATTCCTCTCTCTAGTCCTCTATCATAGAAGCATACCTTCCCCTTTTTTCTTGACAGGTAGAATGCTTCTAAACAATGCAGTGATCTGCAGCTCTCTCTTAACTTTTATTTTCCAACAGCACCTTCAGGACACAAACCAAATCCAGAAGTATTCTTCAAACTAAAGTTGTAACTCAAAATGATTACATCCATTTTTTTTTTAAATCAAAAGAACCTTAACAAAACAAAATCAGGTGGGCCATAGAGCTTTCTGGGCAGCAATGCGTTAGTCAATATGCAATTATTACTTGCTTTGTTCTATTTATTTTGTACAATTCCATTTACAAGCATTGCATTTCACTGGGCATCTTATGAAAGATGGCCTCCAGGTGCCATAACTAACATAACAACATAACATCTGAAAAGTCAACAAGTTGAGCAGATGTGATCCTCAAGATGTTATCATTCCCCAAAACAGAAACATTCCCATATTTGTTTTAACAGAAAATTGTCATCCCCTTACCCTCCCACCCTCCCCTTTCAGCTGCATGCAGCAGGAATGCTGCTTCCCTCCAGATGTTTTGACCATCACAAAATAATAGGTGGGCAAGGGAGTCATCTTTGCTAGGCCTTTGTTGGCAACATTTGTGATGCACCTGCTGCTGTCAGTTGCTGAATCTTTTGGTTCATCGTTTCTATTACAGCTGTAAAAGAAAAGAAACCAAACTGAGTCAGGAAAGCATTTGAGCAGTAATTTCGATAATCAGAATCAGATGGAGTTATATTTACAGTTTTTGCACTTCTCAGTTTTTGCCTGCTGCTAAGGCCTACCTTGTTTCATTGCATGCTTCTCCTGCAATGCTGGCTGGATTTTCTCTATTTGCTTTGTCAGGAAATCAATCTTCCTCTTGAAGAAGTCTCTAGCCTCATCCACTGTCTGCCAAGATCAAAGGCGCTGTTACTCCACTGTTTACAATCAAATGGCTTTGTCAACTGAGAATGCCCAGCTAGCACCTTGCAACTGCTACTGTGATAAATCCAAATTCATTGCTTAATTTGGATGATTTTCCCAATCAGATTTTGGCTTGTATTTTTTCAGTCAATAGCGGGCAGAACTGGGTGTTTTCTGGAAGGTTCAGAGAATGCTAAAGGGCCAATCTTCAATCCCTTTTACCACCTGCCTCTGTATATAATGGAAATGGGATGGGATCAGCTGGGGTCAGCAGCAAGATACTTTGGTGGCATATAGAGACATATGAAAATGAATGAAATGAAAAGACTATTTAAATTTGGTTATCTTTGCCAAGATTAGAATTCTCTGTTAATTCTTTTGAAGATGGCTTTTGTTGCATCTTATACATGAGAAACGTGCCTTTTTTCACAACCTGTGTAAAAATCAGACCAGAGAGGCTTCCTAAGATTTATTTATTTAGTGTGTCAGCCAGGGATCACCGAAGCGGCTGGTTGCTTCTGAAAGGAATTTTTTCAGGCGGTGCTATCTTACCCGTGAGATGCCTGAATGCCAGTAGGCAATCGGGGGAGGCTCCTTTCCTGTCCCTACGCGGTTTATTCGCTCACGGAAATCTAACTGCCAAGCTGCCGACAAGCGGAGCGCAAGCTAAGCATCTTAACATGTGAGCCACAGCGGCCCCTTCTTCCTAAGAGCTTCTTATTCATGGGTCCACACGAACAGAGGCTCATTCTTTTAAAGCCTCTGGCTTAATGATGCTGATTGAGGTCCGATTTGTAACAGTAATCCAATGCTCAATTACAGTTGTAAGTCAAGGACTTCCTGTACAACTGTGCCTCTATGATGGAAAACCAGATCTCTGCATTTCCTGTGATGTTAAATTAGGGATTGTGGCCTCCTTGGAATTGTGCCACTCCTTCAACACCAGCCTCAGAGAAATGAAAAATGTCTTACCTTTTCTACATAGTAACCTGTCCCTACATCTAACAATACATGGCTCCCATCAGAAAGCTTCCCAGGAACATACATCTGTAAAGAAAGGTTAAGGAAAAGCACAAGAGCCTGGAAGAATCAAGCACAATCAAGAGAAAAAAAGAATTAAATTTCTAGTCCAAAGAGAAAATCCCCCATTGGAGAAAGTAAAAAAGTCACAAGCATTGCTAGGTCATAACCCTCATGCTGATGAAGAAACAATATTGGACGGAATCGTTATAATAGCTGAAGTAATATTATAAAGCATGGCATCAGTATTTTCTTCACTAAATAAAATAAAAATTGCAAAACAATAGAGTTATGAGTACTTTTGAAATTGTTTGGAGCTTTTGTTTTGGCTGATTTACGTTAATAGTTCTATGAGACCACTTTATACCAGCCTGTAATTCCTGGTTGTCTCCCCTTTAAATAGGGGAGATCTAAGCTCCCAGTCATTTTTTAATTGAGCCAGAGGTTGCCATCTGTATCTAAAAATATACTCACAACAAAATACACCTCCCCACCTGTGCTATGCTCTCTAAGTCAGGGTTGTCAAACTTGCAGCCCACGGGCCGGATGTATCACATGCTGGCCAGGTCCACCCCCGTTTTAGCAAAGGGGAAAAAGGTCATGATACGTCACGTGATGATGTGACAATGCGAGTTTGACACCCCTGTTCTAAGTAAAGGACACAATTCTAGTGCTCTCCAATTTTAGAAAACAGGCGATTCTTAAGGGTTCATGTTTGTGTAACCTATGTGGTTCCATATTAAAAGTTTCTTTTGCTTCTCTAGTGTCTTAAAAAATCTCAAATGTTATAATCAAGGTAAGTCACAGAGGTTCCATCCAAATCATAGTACAGAACTAATCTGCAAAAATATCCTTTAACCTTCGAACCGCCACACCCCGCTGCAGGGAGGCGGAACCGATGAGATGATACTGCCCCAGGCACCTGATGGAACCTAATAGGTTCCAGACGGAGCTTGGGCCATTCTCTGAGGCTCTGGCTCACGCCTCGACTGAAGACCTAGTGGCCGCCTGGGATAGGGCGGCCACTGGAGTTTTGGATTGGGTCGTGCCTTTGCGGCCTCTGACCCGGCGCCGGTCTCACCTGGCTCCTTGGTTCACCGAGGAGCTGAGGGAGATGAAGCGCCAGAAAAGACGCCTGGAGAGCAATTGGAGGGCCAGCCTTTCTGAATCCGACCGAACACTGGTAAGATCTCATATTAAGACTTAACTAGTGGCGATAAAAGCGGCAAAATGTAACTATTTTGCCACTCATTGCATCATCAGATAATCGCCCGGCCGACCTGTTTAGAGTGACCCGCTCCCTGATCCACCAGGGAGTGCAGGAGGACCCCTTGGAGGGCAGGGCCGAGGACTTTGTGCAGTATCTGTATGACAAAATCGCTCAGATTCGGGAAGACTTGGACTCTGACTGGGTAGATTCAGGAGGGATGATGGAGGCAGGTCTTGAGAATATTATCTGGGAAGAGTTTGATCCTGTGACTCACGAAGACGTGGACAGGATTCTGGGTAGACTGAGCGCAGCCACGTTTATTGGACCCGTGTCCCTCCTGGTTGGTGCTGGCCTCTCGGGAGATGACACGAGGCTGGCTCCAATGCTTCATTAAGTGAGGGTGACTTTCCCGCCGCCTTGAAAGAGGCGGTGGTGAGGCCTCTCCTCAAGAAGCCTCCCCTGGACCCGGCAGTGTTAGCAAATTATCATCCAGTCTCCAACCTTCGCTTTTGGCGAAGGTTGTTGAGAGTGTGATGGCGCGACAGCTTCCCCAGTACCTGGATGAATCCGTTCCAGTCGGGCTTCAGGCCTGGGTACAGCACGGAAACGGCATTGGTTGCATTGGTTGATGATCTCTGGAGGGCTCGGGACAGGGGTTGTTCCTCTGTCCTGGTCCTATTAGACCTCTCAGCGGCTTTTGATACCATCAACCATGGTATCATGATGCACCGGTTGGAAGAGTTGGGGGTGGGGGGCACCGTGTTGCGGTGGTTCTCCTCCTTTCTCTCCGACCAGTCGCAGTCTGTGTTGGCAGGGGGGCAGAGGTCGACCCCGAGGCGCCTTATATGTGGGGTGCCACAAGGGTCGGTCCTCTCGCCCCTTCTGTTCAACATTTATGTGAAGCCGCTGGGTGAGATCATCCGTGGTTTCGGGGTGAAGTACCATCAGTACGCTGATATTCAGCTATGCATCTCCACCCCGGACCACCCCAATGATGCCCTTGAAGTGATGTCCCGGTGCCTGGAGGCCGTGCGGATCTGGACGGGGAGAAACAGACTCAGGCTCAACCCATCCAAGACTGAGTGGCTGTGGTTTCCGGCGTCCCGATATAGTCACTTGGTGCCATCACTGACTATTGGGGGCGAGTCTTTGGCCCCCACGGAGAGGGCTCACAACTTGGGTGTCCTCCTGGATTCACAGCTGTCTTTAGAAGAGCATTTGACAGCTGTGGCCGGGAGGACTTTTTATCAGGTCCGCCTGATTCGCCAGTTGCGTCCCTTTCTGGATTGGGACTCCTTACGCACGGTCACTCATGCCCTCGTCACTTTCCGCCTGGACTACTGTAATGCTCTCTACATGGGGCTCCCCTTGAGGAGCACCCGGAGGCTCCAAATGGTTCAAAGTGCGGCCGCACGGGTGGTTATGGGAGCGACATGGCAATCCTATGTAACACCTCTCCTGCGCAAGCTGCACTGGCTCCTGGTGGTCTTCTGGGTGCGCTTCAAGGTTTTGGTTATCACCTTTAGAGCGCTCCATGGCTTAGGACCTGGTTATTTATGGGACCGCCTTCTGCCACCAGTAGCCTCTCACTGGCCAGTACGCTCAGATAGAGAAGGGCTCCTCAGGGTGCCGTCGGCCAAACAGTGTTGGCTGGTGGCCCCTAGGGGGAGAGCCTTCTCTGTGGGGGCACCTGCCATCTGGATGAGCTCCCCCCGGAGATACGGACGATCCCGGATTTACGCACCTTCTGCCGCACCCTCAAGACCTTTTTAGTTCAGCAGGCTGGCCTGACCTAACTTCTCTTTTAAATTGTAAATTGTAAATTTGTTTTAAAATATTAGGGGTGTTTTAATTTTTTGGGGCCAAATTATCTAATGGGTTTTTATATTGTCTTTTAAATTTTGTAGTTTGTGTGTTTTATCTTTTGGCTGTTCACTGCCCTGAGTCCTTCGGGAGTAGGGCGGTATATAAATCCAATAAAATAAAATAAAATAAATAAATAAAATAACAGAAGGCTGCAGGAGGAAATTCATTTACACTACTACAACATTGAGTTGAATGAAAAGATTCTCTCCCCCTTAAAAAAAGATTTTTCTCTTGGAGAACTTGAATTAGAAATAAGAGATAGTTCTCGGCTATTTTCTATTATTTTCTTAGTGGAAAGTTTGATCTAATGTAGGAATTAGAGGTTGCACTACAACAGAGCACTCTAAGATAGTTCCTCTTCTCTTGGTACAGTTTTGGATGTTGGTATATGATCGCTTCAAAGTGCTGCAATTTTGTGTACAAAAACAGTTCATCAATACTTAAAATGGAACCTCTATGGTATAAGGTTCTGAGACTTCTGAAAATATCATTAGTGTGTCATCAGATTACACTTTCAGTTGCAATAGAAGCATGTTTTGTTTTTCAGTTGAGCAACTGGTGGAAGTCACAACAGAAAGCATATTACAGAGCCAGACAAAGCAGTGGTTCACACATTATGCTTCATCATAAACTGCAATCAATATGTCATACAAACATGCCAACTGCTTTCTGCTGAAAAATTTGGCATTATTCTGAAGGGATTCTCATTTCTTATTAACTTTGATTAGACCTACCTTCCTTCCTTCCTTCCTTCCTTCCTTCCTTCCTTCCTTCCTTCCTTCCTTCCTTCCTTCCCTCCCTCCCTCCCTCCCTCCCTCCCTCCCTCACAAAACCTCTAACTGAGCCCAACATACTGTATAGAAGTCTACAGCTTCCAAGATTTGCTCTCATCAGAAATGATGACAGAATAACTAGCCTGTGCAAACTGTGTTTCTCTTTTAGAAGTGGCAAAACACATTTGGGCTCACTGAAATAATAGTAACTCACTAAACAGTAAACTGATTGTTTAATCCCACTGACAAATTATTAGAATTATTACAAATTACTATACTTCTGAGGAAGAAAAAGTTAAAAAGTTGAAGCTGTTCCAGGATATTATTATTTTGTAAAAAAGGATACAGAGCTGGAGAGTGGAACCAGTAGCTCTTTACCTAAGCAGAGGAGAAAAATAGGTTTTGCAATGTGTTTTAGATAAGGCTACCCTATAAAAGGACAAACTATAACTAATGTAGAATATAGCAGCTAGAACAGCCCATTTACCATATTAAACAAATCATGCTAGCTGGCAACATGTAGTTCTAATACGATCTAAACTGTTGGTGATTGTTGTGCAAAGATCTTAAATTCTTTAGAACCGTAACACTCGAGGAAGGACACCTTCAGGATTTATTAATATAGATATTAGGGTCTGCTAAGGGCGGTTTTTCCTCAGCTTCTACTGCTGAGACCATTAGAAACTGTCCATTGTGTGAAGATGCAGGGGAATGCCATCTCACCTATGCCCCAATAAATAGAATGAATGTCCTCATCTCAGGTGTTTAATTAACACTGATGTTACTGTTATTTCAACAGCATCTTAAAATCTGAATATTTTGGAAACCCTTGGGCCATGTTAACACATAATTGTCTGTTTTACATGGCACCTACTATTTTATTAATTGCTGTGAAGCTATAATATAGAATAGAAAAATAAATAAGGGGGAAATGCCTAGAACTATTCTCCCAATCAGCAGAACTGATATGTAATAGTATTTCAGAAACAGTTCAATTGATTTCAGAATATTTTTTTGTTAATGAATCTGAGACATAGAAACTTGCTGAGTTCCTTTTGAGCAGTGTTTAAGGTGTGATACTAGAACCACTGGGGGATCCCCTCAAAACCACCCCTGGCTCCATGAAATTACATTTCCTGGCCCATGTTACATTAAAATCCCAGTCAATCATGAGAAGTAATAAAGCTCTTTAGAGGCCCTTCACAATTTGTGAAGGAAGTGGGAAGGGCTCCGGAGAGAAAAAAAAAGTTTAAGAAACATTATTTTAGAGTATCAAACATACCAGTTTCTAATTTCTTGTGTTCTCTTTTCCTTACTTCACGAAGAAAAATTAGGGAGTGAAAATTCTTGGTTTAAAGTTGGTATGTACTGTAGGTCAGTAGCAGGGATCAGATTTAGCAGTTTTTATAACATTTTTTCCAGTTCTTAGTTATTTAAATCACAGATGAGTAATCTCAAACTAGATGACCCCTAACGGGACATGATGGCTCAGTGGCTAAGGCGCTGAACTTGTCAATCAAAAGGTCGTCAGTTCACTGGTTTGAATCCCTAGTGCCGTGTAAGGGGATGAGCTCCCGTTACTTGTCCCTGCTTCTGCCAACCTAGTAGTTCGAAAGCATGTAAAAAATTCAAGTAGAAAAATAGGGACCACCTCTGGTGGGAAGGCAACAGCATTCTGTGCGCCTTTGGCATTTAGTCATACCGGCCACATGACCATGGAGACGACTTCGGACAGTGCTGGCTCTTCGGCTTTGAAACGGAGATGAGCACCGCCCCCTAGAGTCGGGAACGACTAGCACATATGTGCGAGGGGAACCTTTACCTTTACCTTAGATGACCCCTAAAATGTACCAATGAAACTTCAGCCAATCACTGTAACATTATAATCAAAACAGAGAAGAATCTTCTAGACAAGAGGAGCTGAGGACCAGTACTAATTCTATTTCCAAACTGACAAGGATGCAATCTTTCACCCACTTATCTAAAACTCAAGAGAGTACAGCTTCTCAGAAGATATACTGTATTTTTCGGAGTATAAAATGCACCTTTTTCCCCCCAAAAAGAGGGTGAAAATCTGGGTACATACTCCGAATGTTGCCCCACCCAGCTTCTCAAATGGAGGTTTCAGAGGCTGAAAAAAGCATCACAAATGAAGCTTCAGAAAAGAAGTTCCCAAACAGAGCTTCAGAGGCTTTTTTTCTGAAGCTCTGTTTTAGAGGCTTTCAGAGGCAGGAAAAAAAGCAAAAAAAAAAAGCAAGGCACAGAGCTCACAACCTGTTACTAAAATTCACCCCTGAGAACAGCTGATTGGGGGTATTCTGGCTGATCTACCTGCCAATCAGCTTATTTCTTATTTTCCACCCCAAAAACTAAGGTGCGTCTTATACTCTGGTGCGTCTTATACTCTGAGAAATACGGTATGTAGAACTGGATTGCAAGCCTATCCTCCTTTAGGTATAGAATCTCATTAGGTCATAAAGACAGTTGGGAAACCTCTGGCCTGGCAGGTGTAAAACCCATCCCAGCATTAGCCAGCACAGCCAATAAGGAGGAATGTTAGGAGTTGCAGTCCGGCAAAATCAAGGTTTCCCATAAAAAAATTCAAGCACATTTTCAAGACTGAGCTGAGGCTACATAAGAAAGAGATTTTAAAAAGGGAGTTATTACTTGCCTTCGTTACTTTTATTTAATACATTCAGACAGTCCTTTGCTTCCACATATTTTGTCTGTACCACCTTAAGTTGTGCAATGGACGAAGAAAGGAATTCAACTTCCTGGAAAAAAAAAATAAAACTCAAGAGTTCAGCAATGAAAGCCACACTCTCAGCTTCCAAACAATTGTTGGATTAGACATTCTAAAACAGTCTTAGAAAATTTTGTCACTGTAATATTTAGTGCATTGAGAGATGAGGCAATTATTTTATTTAAACGTGTCTCTTCTGTTCTCATCAAAAAGTTTTATCATCTTTTTAGGATGAAGTTTCACCAGCTAGCAGATACATTGCAAGAAAATGATGGAGATGTTAGGGCTACGAAGTTCACAAGAGTGGTCGTTAACCACAATTTCCTCTTCCCCCCAATGAAATATTTTGGCTTTTTTCAACATACGACCATTTGGGAAGAACTGGACTACAAGCATTTCCATGTGTGGAAGTATAGTGTCTAAATTAGGGTGGAGAATCTGTAGCTTTTCTGAAGTTGTTAAAATTTCCAACCACATTGTTGATGTTGAACAATGTTGTGAGCTGTAATTCAGCAACATTTGAAAGGGACTACAAGAACATCTAATGTTGATCCTAAGCTTGCCTTAACATTGAGCAATGAAAATCAAAGCATCTGGTTCCTTAAGGACTTCATTAGTGAACTGAAACGTATAATTTAAAGGATAACAGGACGCATAGGGAATGAGAGACAAAAGTTGCCTCAAATTCTAACTGCATACATTTTTGCCATATAATCTTTCTATAACCAGTCTAGTGGACAATTAAACTGTGTTAGATTATCATATGAAGCAGTTATCTTTTTTTTTTTTCTTAAAGTAGGAGAACATAAGACTTTAAAAATCAAAACTATAGTCCTGGGATTCTTAGAAAAATTAGAATGAGGTCTTAACCCCAAGAATTAAATTTAATTTATTCACAACATATCCAGTTAAAACATACTTTCTAGTTCGATCCTTTCCAGCTAGATCCTTAAACACACAAGGCACTTAGAATTGCCTAACAACAAAATAAACCACTACTAGCCTCACTCATTTTAATCCTGCATGAATTTCTCTTTCCTGTCCTCCTCCGTATTCCATAGGCATTAAATTAGGAAATATCATCCAACAACGGAACCAACCACCACACCAGTTAATTTTTGTGCCACGTAAACAGCCGGTCACGTGACCAACTGACAGTACCACCACATAAGACCTCTATAAACGAAAGAGAAACGGAACAAGATACTTCATGCAAAGTCCCGCTAAAGTTATTGTCTAGTCTGCTAACAAAATGCTCACGAGCTAAATGGCAAGCTTGGAGAACAAACCACTGCCAAAATCTATAACCAGAGCTACATATATTTTCTATTATTTCAAATGTATTCATTTTGTTTGGTTTGTTGTCTTTCTGTTTGTTTGGTTGCTGATCTTGATCAAGGGAACTCCATACTTAACATCTTTAGTAGGGAAGCTTTATATGTTAATATCTCAAGTTCAAAAGAATTACAAGTGGTCTTCGATTTACAACAGTTCATTTAGTGACCGTTTGAAGTTAGAATGGCACTGAAAAAAGTGACTGATGATCATTTTTCAGACTTTGACCATTGCAGCATCCCCATGGTCATGCGATCAAAATTCAGATGCTTGGCAACCAGTTCATATTTATGACCGTTGCGGTGTCCCAGGGTCATGTGATCCCCTTTTGCGACCTTCTGACAAGCAACCCATGGTCACGTGATTTAGATTCGGATGCTTGACACCTGACTCACATTTATGACAGTCGCAGTGTCCCAGTGATCCTCTTTTGCAACCTTCTGACAAGCAAAATCGGTGGGGAAATCAGATTCACTTAACTACTGTGTTGCTAATTTAAGAACTGCAGTGATTCACTTAACAAATGCAGTAAGAAAAGTCATAAAATGGGGCAAAATTCACTTAACAAATTTCTCAGCAACAGAAACATTGGGCTCATTTGTGGTCGTAAGTTGAGGACTACATGTATTATAGTTTTCCCATTCCCTTTGTCCTTCCTTTCCTGCCTGATGAGGTTGGTCTATCACAACAAGGATGGGGGATAGTGCTGAGAGCTCTAGTCAAAAGCTTCTAAACTACATGCCCCGGATTATGAAACTTAATTCCCCTTAATTTTTAAATCTTTTAATATCTAGAAACACAGCAAAGAGTCCCCTTGTCTCACACACAAAGGGTTGGTGGAAGGATACTATGTGAACCACCCCCTCTCCCCCTCCCCCCTCAGAAAAGAATGAAACCAAACCAACTGTCAAGTTGCTAACCCGAAGGAGACAGAACCAGCATTTAAAAAACAAGAAGGCTGCTGAGAGAGAAGGCTTGAGATTTCCAGTTTTCCATCCTATATTTATGGATGTCATTTAAGTCAGTGACATTCGCAAAGAATACACCATCCCTTCCCTGTGTCTTCCAGTTCCACATTAAAGATATTTTTGAATCCATTTTTCACATTAACAAGAGTGGATTGTCAAACAGGAGATTGTGAATTTCAAGTCTCTTAAAGCAAGGGCAACCATACCTTTTGAATTCACATCTCACTTCATTTAGAAAGCCACTAACAAAGCAATATGATCTAAGCACAGACCCTCCTCTCTTTAATTTATACAGTAACAGAAAATGTATTTGGCCTTTATATTGAAATATTGCAGGAATGATGGAGAAAATATTCAGGGTAAAACACTCCAGATATTAAAAGTATTATATAAAACTATTTGTGGAGAGGTGAAATTATTTAGGATACTCATTTTGAGAAGAGGAGAGACATGATTTCTACCTGATCTTCCTATGGCATCTGAAATTAAGTGACAAATTTACCAAAAAACTGCACAATATATGTACATTTTTTTGGGGAAAAGGCAAAGCTCAGTGACCCCAAACAGTCGAATTAAGCAAGGCATTTCCAAGAGAACATACTGAGTTTTTAAAGGACTGATGGGGTAAGGGGTTGCCTAGCATGCTATATAAAACCCAAAGCTGGAGAACATCTAGGTAAGTCTCTCCCAAAGGACTCAGGGCGGCTCACAACGATAAAAAACACATAAAATTCAGTATTCAAATATAAAAACCAATACAATCCCCTTTAAAAACCCCTTCAGTCCAATCCGGCCAGGCCAAATAGCCATGTTTTGAGGTCACGGCGGAAAGAGCGAAGGTCATATTCCTATATACTCATATATATTTCCATTTAAAAACTACCTATCTACGAATTGCCCAACTCCTGAGGTTCAGACTTGAAGATACAACCTGGAGACTCAGAGGTACGCAGGTATTCCTCAATTTACGGCCACAATTGAGGCCAGCATTTCTGTTGCTACGTAAGACATTTGTTAAGTTTCACCCCATTGTACATCTATTCTTGACACATTTATTAAGGAATCACTGTAGTTCTTAAATTAGTAAGACAGTTTATTTATTATTTATTTATTTATTTTATTTCTATACCGCCCTTCTCCCGAAGGACTCAGGGCAGTGTACAGCCTGATTAAAAGCACAAAGACAGACAAAATTTTAAAATAATTAAAATTATTAAATGATAGGCTCAATTTAAAACCCCAAATTTAAAATCCCATTTTTAAAAACCAATTAAAATCTTTGCCTTGATAGCCCAGCCTGGTGGAACAACAAGGTTTTGAGGGCACAGCGAAATACACGGAAATCAGAGATTTTACGAATTTCTGTGGGCAGTTCATTCCAAAGGGCAGGGGCTCCCACAGAGAAGGCCCTCCCCCTGGGTGTCACCAGCCGACATAATTTGGCCGATGGCACCCTGAGGAGACCCTCTCTGTGGGAGCGGACTGGCCGGTGGGAGGCTACTGGTGGCAGAAGACGGTCTCTGTTGTTAAGTGAATCTGACTTCCCCAATGATTTTGCTTGCCAGAAGGTTGCAAAAGGGGAAACCCAGGACCCTGGGACATTGCAACAGTCATAAATGTGAATCTGTTGTCAAGCATCTGAATGTAAAGCAAGTGACCATGGGGATGCTGCATTGGTCATTAAGTGTGAAAAATGGTCGTAAGCCACTTTTTTCAGTGCCGTTGTAACTTTCAACGGTCTCTACATGAACTGCTATTAAGTTGACTACCTGTATTAGCAGCCCCCAGAAAGTCACAGGGGGTTGTGGCTTGCAATGATTGTCTCCTCTGAAGCATCCCCATGGTCACGTGATTTACATTCGGATGCTTGACTCACATTTATGATGGTCGCAAGTGTCCCAGGATGATGTGATCCCCTTTGGCAACCTTTTGGCAAGTAAAATCAATGGGGGGAAACCAGATTCACTTAACAATCAGATTACTAATTTAAGAACTGGAGCGATTCCCTTAAGAAATGCAGCCAGAAGAGGCGTACAACAGGGAAAAACTCACTTAACAAATGTCTCCCTTAGCACCCGAAATTTTAGACCTCGATTATGGCGGTAAGTTGAGGATTTAACTGGTACCTCTCTCTGAGTTTCCGGGTTGCATCTTGCAATCTTAACGCACAGAACTTAACAGTGAACGTTAAGAAGACAAAGACCGCTGGGGCCAAACGATGGTCCGTGATAGCCACAGGCAAAATCCTATTAGCAAAAGCATTTAGACTTATATACTGCAGGCAGAAATTACCCATTGCCTTCCTTTCCTTCTCCCTCTCTTTTATTCACTTGAGATTCAGAGAAAGTCGGGATGGCTGCAGCCTTACTCATGCTTATCTGGGGGTGATACAGAGTTCAATGTTTTTTTGTTTTTTTAAAATTTGATTTATATGCTGCCCTTCTCCGGAGACTCAGGGCGGCTTACAATGCGCTAAAGCAATAGCCTTCATCCTTTTGTATATTTATACAAAGTCAGCTTATTGCCCCCACAACTGGGTCCTCAATTTACCTACCTTAGAAAGGATGGAAGGCTGAGTCAACCTTGAGCCTGGTGAGATTCGAACCTGCAGTAACTGCAGGCAGCTGGTCTTAATAACCAGCTTAATAACAGGGTGCCTTAGACCACTGTACTACCAAGGCTCTTTCTCTTTCTTTCTTTCTTTCTTTCTTTCTTTCTTTCTTTCTTTCTTTCTCTCTCTCTCTCTCCCCTCCCTTCTTTCTTTCTCTTTCCTTCCCTTTCTTTCTTTCTTTCTAATAGGCGGGCTCAGCATGAGCATCCACCCCAACCGGGCGCCTTCCAGGACGTTTGGCTCCCAACTCTCACCTCCTTCGCCCATCCCTTGGCTTCCGAAGGCCAAGTGGAGGAAACCCCCATCACCCCGATCTCGGTGTCGAAATGACCCCCGCCCCCCAAATCCCACGCCGAGCTGACCAAGCGCCAGTCCCCATCTCCCTCCCCACATTTCTGGGCCGGCAGCCGCGATGACGAGGGAGCCTTACACCCCTACGCCCACCCTCCGCTTTTTCACCTGATCCAGCTGGGTTTTCAACACTTCCAGCTGCGGCAAGGAGAGCTCCGCGATGTTCACCTGCTGCGCCATCTTAGGAGGCGGAGACAGAGAGATCCCTCCGCGGACGCCACCTCGGGAGGGCAGTGACGTTCGCTCTAGCTGTTTGGAGTCTATGATCAAGGCGCCCTTTGTGACTCACGGCCAACCGAAAGGGCCGCCCGGCCCAGCCAATAGAAAGACGCTTACGGCTCGGGACGCCCCGCCCCCCCCATTCTTCTTAAGAAGGCGGAAGCGTCCTTGCTAATGTATGAAAAAAAAATTGCGCTACGTGCGTCCAGATGATCAGATCTATATTGGAGGGCGTAAATAAAAATCGGAACTCCGTTTTGTTTTTTTTGGACTGCGCAAATACAAAAGAGTATTCCGGCATTTAAGAGTTTGGCACAAAGAGGGGGGGGGTTCAACTTATTTTCCAAAGCACCAGAAGGCAAGACAAGAAACAATGGATGGAAAGTGATCCAAGGAGAGAAGCAACCTGGAATTAAGGAGAAACTTCCTAACAGTGAGAACAGCTTGCCTTCAGAAGCTCTGGGTGTTCCAACACTGAAGGCTTTTAGGAAAAAGCTGGACAGCCATCTGTCTGAAATGACATAGGGTCTTCTGCTTGAGCAAGGGGTTGGACTAGAAGACCTCCAAGGTCAATTTCTAGCTCTATTATGAGTGATTAAATGGTTCGTGTTCACTTATATCTTTGAACCTGCCCTATCAGGCAAATTGAGCCCCCTGCTGCCCCCTCCCACAGCTATCATATTGATCTAACACCACCCACAAGTTCTCAAGACACCATCCTCATTGGTTGGGGATGACGCAAAGCGCAGTCCCATGCATCTGGAGGGTATCTGAGGTCTTTGTTGCATCGCGGCATCTAACCGCAGCCTCAGTCTGCTTACTCATTTACTAGTTAGTGTTTCTCAACTTTGACAATTTGAAGACGTGTGGACTTCAACTCCCAGAATTCCTCCTGTGCTATATTACAAGTACATCCTCTATATTCCCCTCCAGATGCACTATGACCGTGATGGCGAACCTATGGCACGGGTGTCACAGATGGCATGCAGAGCCATATTGGTGGGCATGCAAGTTGCCCTAGCTCAGCTCCAGTGCACATGCATGCGCCAGCCAACTGATTTTCAGGCCTTCAGGTCCCACCGGAAGTTGGGAAACTGGCTGTTTCCGGCCTCCTGAAGGCCTCCAGGGGGATGGGGAAGGCTGTTTTTGCCCTCCCCAGGCTCCTAGAAAGCGTCTGGAGCCTGGGGAGGGGGAAAAACGGGCCTACTGGGCCCACCATGCCAAAAGCAGGGGGAAGTGTGTGGGGGTCACGTGCGCATGCGCGGGAGGTGGGGCACATTGAATTATGGATGTGAGCACAGGCACCCGCGACCCCCCTCCCCCCGCTTTTGGCAGAACTTTATAACAACCAAGGTTGCTCCCCATATATTCCATGTCATAACCTCTGGAAATTTAAATCAGAGGCTCTGACATAGAGTTAGGGATCTGAAGATCAAACAGGAAAGAGTTAATTTCCCATGTTATGGTAAATAATTTATCCAGTTCTGGGTATCCAGCTCATATACTCAAGATCTTGCTTAATCTTGCATAACAAGGAAATTTTGGGGCCAAGGTAAGCCAAAAGAAATGCCAAAATATAGAAGCTGTACACAATTGTTAACAAAAATACAGAAAATATAAAAAGGCTAAAAAAATACAAAAAAGCTGTACAATACCATTTCCTTCCACTTATGACTGTATGACTATAACCTTGTTGCTGGTATCCTTAAGATTTATATTGTCTGTTTCCTAATATGATTTGATTGCCTATTTGTTCCCTATGACTATCTTTAAGTTGTACCTTATGATTCTTGATTAATGTATCTTTTATGTACACCAAGAGCATATGCATCAAGACAAATTCCTTGTGTGTCCAATCATACTTGGCCAATTAAGAATTCTATTCTATTCTATTCTATTCTATTCTATTCTATTCTATTTTTACCAAGTCATTTATTAGCAATTTTCAAGTATGCCGCCAACAAACTCTTATCTAATTTATAATTTTTATAAAGATAGAACTAAAATTCCAAGGAGGGGTGTATACATTGTCTAGTAGAATACAAATATTTTAAATTGCATGCCTTCCCAAACATCCATAGTGAATGGCTATATTGACTGGGGCTGCTGAAAGTTGGAATACAAAGTCTGGCAGGACTGTTACCTCTTTCCCATATTTTGTCCAGTCCCTAAGTCTAGACAAGTCAGCTCGAGCATCCTCAGTCAAGACTTGAACATATCCCCTGCCCCAGGTTCAGGTTGCATGTATACACAGATCTTATTGGCATCCTTCAGTCTCAAGAGACTATGGTATCGTGCTCTGGAAAGAGGTCCTAAAACAGCATCTAGTGTGACTAAAAAGGCCAATTCGAGAGTGGCAATCCCTTCCACACTGAGGGCAGATACATTCTGTCCCCTGCCCAGCCCCCAGATTTCGCTGGTTCCGGGACTGCCTCTTTGCCTCAGCCTGCCGAACAAGTGTCTCTTCTAATTGGAGAAGGCCATGCTGTGTCTTTAGCCTCCAAGCTGAATGATTGGAGGTCAGGGTTTCCCAGTTATTAATGTCCATTCCCAGGGCCTTTAGGTCCCTCTTGCAGATATCCTTATAGCGCAGCTGTGGTCTCCGTCTGAGGTGCTTTCCCTGCACTAATTCTCCATACAGATCTTTCAGAATCCAACCATCAGCCATTGTCACAACATGCCCCATGGGGCATATGCAGAAGTTGTTTGCTTTTAACTTTTATTGAGGTTTTGAAACTTTAAAATACAAATACGATTTAAGAATAACTTACAATAATTGTTGAATGTTTACTCTATACAAATGTGATACATATTTCAAAAGATAGCAGCTTACATAGGTTCTTCTGTAAGAACGAATGCAGGCCTGCTACAGTAAAAAGGCAAGGTAAATATACTAGCATAAATTAAATGTTTATCTTTTCTCTTGAAAGTTAAACACTATGTATACTTAAGGCAATTCAAAATGTAGTAATAAATTCATTCAACCCCTTTCACTCCCCCCCCCCCTTAAAGGTTATATCTCATGTTTTGTTGAGTTTTCTATTTCAGGAATACTGGTAAGCCATATGCAACTGGAGCAGCTCCAATCATGTATCTGAGCTTGGGAGCCTGGCGGGATTCAATGATGTACTGTAGCAAAGGGGTTCCAGAACCTGCCTTGAGCCAGTTGTTCAGAAGTGCTTGCATATAGCGATCAATATCTCGATCTGTTACATCCCAGAGATTACCCAGCACCAGGGGACTGGAAAACAAGGGAGGGGAAAGAAGTATGTGAGCACAAGTCATGTTTATAACAGAATCCTGGATACATCAATTAGTAGGCAAAACAAAGCAAAAAGTTTACTTGAGTAATACTTAGGCTTGCACAAGCATTCCATGTTGGATGATGTCTCCTTGCTCCTGAAGCTTTAGGACAGGCATCCTCAAACTATGGCTTGCGGGACAGATACGGCCCGCCAACGCAATCTATCCGGCCCGCGTGCAGTGGTGATTAAGCCCCGCCCCCATCCTGCCCTTTCCAGCAGTCGCCCTTATCTTCAATTGCCCCAACACGCTCCTCTGTCCCAAAGTAGGATTTGAGTGGGTGGAAGGGAACAGGGGAAAGGGTAGGAGGGAAGGAGAAGCCCGGCTGGGCTGGCTTTCCTTTGGCGTGGAGCGGGGGCGGGGACCCAATACCCCCTCCATGCCTGCCCGCTGCTCTCGCAGTGCTTTGCACAGCACAGCACAGCAAAATCTAGCACGTTTCACAATGGGGGAGACTGGGTCCCCTCCTCCTCCTGGAGCCCATTCCCTACCCCATTTGCCCCTGGCAGCATTCTCTCTCTCTCTCTTGGCGGAGAGTAAACCCGGAACTAGCCGCCTGCCATTTCCCACCAGTCAGGCAGGGCGGGGAGGGGAACGGGAGAGAGAGATTCGGCTCGATTCAGCCCTTGCCAAAGACGCTCACCCATCAGCCAGTCTCTCTCTCTCTCTCTCTCTCTCTGTGTGTGTGTGTGTGTGTGTGTGTGTGTGTGTGCCCGCATCTCTCCCTTTCTCTCACTCCCTGTCTCTGTGTGTCTTCTCACATGGAAAGACTTGCATGCTTTCCTTGGGGCTTTTCGCTACCCGTTTTTCTTTCTTCCTTTTGGAAATCTGGGCTTGCTGAGGAAGGAGCAGCGGAGGCTTGCCTCCTCCTCCCACTCCTTCTCCTCTCGTGCACACCCTCCCGGCCCCGCCATAGTCAGCCAGGGGGTTGCGAGAGAAGGAGGAAGAGGGGGATCCAGTCTATGTCTCACTCAAGTTCATTATGGGCTTTGCTGTGGGAGGTTTTATCTCCACTCCCTTCCCAGGTATTTGAGTATCTGCAATGATGCAATCTTGCCCAGGTTTTTATATGAATAGTTCAGTCCTGCAAATGCTTTTATAGAAGCTGCATTAGCTTTTGGGTCCTTCTGAATATTTTTGCCTTAGATCCTGATGAGAGCAGTTTACCAAACGTGACTCTGGGTGGCACACAACAGTGAGATAAAACTATATAAAAACTATAGATGTAAAACATAAAAATTCATATCAATAAATAAATTGGCCACGCCCACCCAGTCAACTTGACCACCCAGCCATGCCCACCCAGCCAGTCTGGCCCTCCAACAGTCTGAGGGACCATGAATTGGCCCCGTTTAAAAAATTTGAGGACCCTTGCTTTTAAGATTTCTTTGTACTGGCTTCATGTATACTCTTCCCATCATAGCTTGGAAGTCAGTATATCAGGATTTAGGAACTATGATTCTGGGCAATTACCATGATGATTGACTATCTTTTAGCAACTTACCATCCTGCCATGATGAACTTGAGAATAGCACCAGTTCCCTCCAGGTTGCCCTGTACAGCTAGAGCAGCACTGCTGCAGCCAAAAAGAAAAGCCACAGCTCTGCAATCCATTTTTAAGATGGAATCCACAAAACGTGCGCCTGCCCCGTGACCAGCATAGCTAAAAAAAGAAAAAAAAATTGACACCTCAAAAAATCTGGCAGATTCCCATTGTGCAATTTCTTGATTGTCTATTTC